TATTTGACATCAAGTCTGTTTCTTCTTTGCCTTCTGTAACCAGAATCATTTCATAATTTAGTATCAACACAAAATTCAATTGAACTTCTTTTAACTAACAACATTAACATCAGCAACAATCACATTAGCACAAACAAACAAAACTATTTCAATACTTACCTATACTTACAGTATTACCTTTTTTTACCTATTATTCTTCAAGATGAATGCGTTTTTAACACAAAAAGAACTATTTTCTCGTAAAATATTTATTATCAAACACTCTTATTAGTTGTAAACAATTGATCACACCTTAAGTTTTATTGCAAAATGAGGAAGAAACCATATTACTTTGGGTGAAACGAATTACTGAATCAATAATGATATTTGCTTACTGAACAATCTATGAATAGATGATTGGTAATGATGATGATAATGATGATATTATAGGAAGGAATTTTTGTGTTGAATCAAATTGATTGTTACAGAGAGACTAAAAAGAGTCATTTCAACAATCAAAGGATCAACTTGAGTTTTGAAAAGAAGAGAGTCAACATTTTCAATGATTTATACCAAAAATTGCTGTTAATTTTTCAACTTCTCCTGTTGCTACATCTCATGTTTAGTGTTGACCGATGTTTTGTTTATGTTAAACCATTGAATCTAATTGTAAGTAAACCAGGTAACAAACTCAAAGTGACCTATCAATTCTTTACATTTTTCCTCGTTGGTTACTGTCAAGTTTCCAAAAATATCTTCAAATACCGAAGATGCTAAAGGCCATTTGGACAATTTTCACGTCCATACTAGTCAAGTGTAACTAATCATTTTGTTTTCAAGAATAACCTTTAGTATCTAATATTTTTTTACTCCTCCTTAGGATTGACCCATTGTTACCAAGCAAGCAACAAAACAATAAAAAAAGGATAATGCCTTTAACTGTATTCAACAAGCATATTGATCAGATAATGTTGGTGCGTAACCTGGTTTTACAAGGAAATACATGTTGACTAAAAAATTTACTTGTGTACATATTCACTGATCATTTCAATCATAATGATTTGGCCGCAATCTTCTACATGCATTGAATATTTCGCTCATCCATTCTCTCTGGTACACCTAGTGAAACTTTACATCTCAATCAGTGTTTGATTATCAATAATGGCTGCTGAATAAAAATCAAAGCTACTAATAGCTAGTAATTAAGGGGCGTCTGAGAAATAGTGGAACTAAATTCAAATGTAAAAATAACGACTTTAAAACGACTTTTAAACAGGAGTTTATGCTAAAAATTTGACTTGAGTTAAAAGTTGGGACTTTGTAAGTTTGTAGAGGCATAAAAACTGGGCCCATTAAAAATTTTACAATCGACAGTTTTCAACAAAATCGAGGCCAAAGTTGAAACTCCGATCGCCTTTTGTTCAGTTATGAAACCAGATTTTTTATCATAAATTATGATTCATAATCATTCTTCTGATGTAACTTTTAATGCCAATCAGGGAATGCATTTATTTTGAGAAATAAAGTTTTCTGTTTCTACACGAAAGATCCGATTCACTGATAAGTTATTCGCTTTCCTCGCGGATCATAGAGAATTTGCTGAAACTCACTTTTTATCGATAAACTTAATGGTGAACATGGTTGGACGGAAACTTTTTTCGATTCAGCAACAGTTTTCTAGATTTTGGACTTAAAACTTTTTATGGGCTATAAGATCACATAACTAAATACTGAAGAACTTGTCAAAAACTGTCGATTGGAGAAATTCGTGAACAATTTCTGGTGACAAGTTAAGGCACCGACAGTCGCTCATTAACATGGCTTTTCATTTTGCATTAAGTCATATTTTTAATCAAAAAGCATAAATTTTATGCCGATGCTTTTTCCCATTGAAAATCAATGGACTTGAAGCTATCTTTTATGCAAAAATATATGAACATAAACAGACAAGTTAAGAAATGAAGAAAATCAAATTTTGGTGAGATTTTATCTTGAATGATTTTGCTTTCAAATTTAACTTGCAGTTGTTTCAATATATCCTTTCAATCAAGAAAAATATTCCTAATCAATAATTTCTATTCTTTTTTCTCTAAAATATGTCGATAGAATAAAAATCTAGAATAAATCTTATTCAAGAATATTCTTTGCCTTTCTCTGGGAATAAGACAAACTGTATAGAAAATGAAAAGCCCTACTCATTAACCATGTTATTGAGAAAGCGATAAAGATATTTGAATGAAGACAACAAAACAGCTAATGGTGTGACTTTTACAATAATGAGGCGGTTGAACACACAGTTTTATGCCTAGTGTGTTGGCCCACAGGAGAGAAGAAGACATCTTAATTAAGGTCTTAGTGCCAGGTAAATATACTCATCAAGTTTATGCACAAGAAGGTGGAGAAGGAGCGAGAAAGTAAAAGATAGTTTTACCTCTTCATCTTCTTTCTTTTACTCTCTCTATCATCTCAAACTATCATCTGTATCCAGCTTACTAAAAATGCTCATCTCACAAGTCGATCCACAGAGAATGTGTCTTCACCCACAGGTAACACTCACTCGGTGGTCCTCTTTGTGTTAGTCTTTTATCTTCATCTTTCTTACCTTTTCTTCTTGCTCATCATACTCACCATCATCTTCATTCCCTCCTCCTCCTTCTCATTCTCATTCTAATTCTAATTCTCTTTCTTTTCTTTTCTTCTTCAGCCTACCTAATTCATGTTCTCTTCTTCAATCATTACCTGCAAGGATTACAACTATTGGATGATCTTTGAACATGACTGTGGTCATAATAGCAATTCATTTAAGCGATCTTTTCCCGAAAAGAAATATTGTCCACGGTACATTGGAAATAAGCGTTAAGTAGACATGAGAAGCTCAATGTTCCCTTACAAAAGGCGATCAGTGATTACCCTTTTCCTTTCCTTCAAAAATACATTACACATGTAAACATATTGTAATGCAAAATGTTTAAGAGTTAACTAATGGTGGTTAATCATTCACTTCTCTCTCTCTCTCAGTTTAATGCTAAGTAATTTATTAACCACTATTAATAGATGATAATCATAGTGAAAAGTAGCTTTTCTGTTCAATTGGCCAGCGATTTGAGTTAAACTTGATTCTCCGTTAAATCTTTTCATATTCATTTCTCTTGACTCTATTTTCAAATGTCAAGTATTTTCATTGTCTCTGAGCAAATAACTTTTTGTTACAAGAAACATCATAAAAAATGAAGTAACGAAACGGTTTTGTATCAATTAACGGCGTTAATTGCACAGCTTAAACTTAGAGCTCAAATGTTGTTAAGCAGTCCAAACAAAT